ATATATATATATATATATATATATATATATATATAATTAAAGACTAGTCATTCATATAATCCATTTTCTATCACCTAAAACAAATGTTTAAACCAGACTTCTTTAGATTTAATTTGTTTGCAATGCTATGTTGTTTATACGTTTATCCATCACATTACTTGATAACTCAAATTGCAGTTGATGATCAAAGATAGACATTATTTTTAATGTACTTTCTGATTTATTGTGACATGATAATTTCAGAATAGATTGATCATTCATAACAAGCATCAAGATCAAAAAACACTTGAAAACAATTATAAATTACTTTAAAAAGATACGAGTTGAGAGATATAAGTTTATTCATTGTTGGAGAAGAGCAAATGAACCACCGAAGACAAGGTGGTTAAAAGCTTATCTTCGCATGAAACGATGCTATGATTTCTTTTTGGATGATAAAATAAAGCAAAGAAAATGGCATTGCTTGTAGCAGCAATCTGAGATTATCCCTTTAGAAATGTGGAGACCGAAAGCAAGAAATTGGCATACATAACTATTGCCAATTTTGAAGGCAGCAAAAGCGCACTATTCACAATTCCTTTGGAATCCTGTGTTAGATATCAGATGAAGAAATTGGGCAATTTTTGTGTCTCCATTTGCTTTGCGTAGGAGATGATGGCGTGGGGTCTGAATGGTCTTTGCCTTTGCCCCACACCACAAAGTTACAGACCCAATGCGATAATGACAGCTCCGATGATACTGAAATCAGTGTAACAGAGAAAGACAGAGGAAGAACATGGTTGAGAAAGTTGACATCAACACTAGAATACTTAGAATTAAAATAATAATCAAACTTTGAAGTGTGACGAAAGAATAATAATGAAGAGGTAAGAAGCATGGTTTACCTGCCCAAGTGAAGTTGCTCTGCAAAAAGGAGGAGCCTAAAGCACAGGTTATGACCATGCAAAAAGAGGATTAAAGGACAGTTAAAAATACCGGGGCCCCTGCTTTGCAACACCAACCCTTGCGATAATACGTTATTCCAGAGGTAACAATTCCCTGTAATTTTGAAATCGATCATTAAGAGAAAACTTGCAGTGAAAGTTAGAGAAAAAGAATACTTTGGGCCCAGTACTAACCGTGTAGAGAGGGCCGTAGAGTCTGAAGTCCCAGCCCAAGGCCCATGCCGCAAGCCCAGAATGACGAGTGGCAATAATTGCCACCACACTAGCTTGCACGGCACCAGATAAGCACACCAAAGAAGAGAGAGACAATTCTGCTGGATACCTTTTCAGTGCTATGGACTGCAATTCACAATTCACCAATAAGACATGTTTTTTTTTTTTGTTACACACATAATATAAATGTCTGTCAGAGAAGATAAAGTTAAACATACCTGTAAAATGAAGAAAGATGACCAAGCCACACAACCCAGGAGAAGAAAAAGAGTCCCTGAGAGCCAATGTTTAACAACTTGTGGAGAGTGAGTTCCGTCTTGGTTTTGGGTTGCGTTTGCAGAATGAAATAGGTTAAATTCAGGACCTTTGTAAAGTGTCATTAGCAAAGCACCTGAAAATGTGACCAATGTCCCAATCACCTTCGCTAGGCTCCTTACTTCCTTAACATTTACACGCTCTAACCTTAGAATTACGGCTAGCACAAAAGTCACAGAAGGCACGGCATTCATTATGGCAGAGGTAAACGAAGCTGATGTGTATTGCATTCCCAAGAAAGTGAAGCCCTGGTCAATCACTGGTCTGAAATACCAGATTCAATCTCATCAGAAAACTTTCAATGGACAAAAACTATACTCATAATAACACCTTCTCATCTCTCACTTCCTTTCAAACTTCATCTTCAGTTTTTTTAACAACGCCTAAATTTCTTTTACCATGTTTAAGTGCCGGCAAATAGAGTTAACTTTAGTCTGAAAATAAATTCAGGTCAACAATTTTTCAACTTAGCTTCATTCAATTTTTGTTACTCTAATTTCAGGAACATAATCCCATGTTTTAAACTTATTTTTTTAGAATTTTAATCGTAAATATATAAAAAATAATTGAAGAAAATAATTATATAAATAAATGTTTATTTATAAAAATATGTAAAAGTAATTAAAAAAATACGTCAATGAACTAGCTTAAATCGATATTAATTTATCCTAAATTCTTAGAACCCGATTCTCACGTTTGCTTCCAAATGATCAAACTGCCAGCGCATGATTTTTGAAACGAAATACTCCTTCAAATTGGTTTACGTGTACTTTTATTTTATGTACTTGGACTTTCAATTGCAAAACTACAATTTTATTTTACTTTGTTTGTTTACAAATATTTGTCTAGAAAGCAGGAAAAAAACAAAAAACTATTTTCAGTATTTTTTTATACAAAATTTTAATAACATGAAACAAATTAGTAGCTTTGTAATTAAAATAAAAAAAAAATTTCCCACATAGTAAATGATCCTTAAGCTTCCTCAACTTCAAACAAAGGACACCTAACTCGTGTGTTCAGACTTGAGTTCAAATAAAAAATGCTTAAAAATATTGGGAAACTTATGGGAAGAAAGAATATATAACGTCATTATAAAAAAAGAAAAGAAAAAGAAACTTAAGCGATCCAGTGGCCGATTGAAGCATTGAAGTAGATTATTGAAATTGTTTTGGTATAAAATATATACTAAACACAAAAAAGAGAGATATGAAAGGAAAATAAATGTAATAGTAAGTGATCCTATATTTGTTGTTAAATACGGAAAAGTTTCTTTCATAGTATTCATTTTAAAAGCAAATAAAACATACTTATATTATACAATTAAAGTGGATGGTATATCAAAATGGAAAATGCTATATAATATGACCTAAACCGATTAAGAAATTGAAAGTATAAAATGTTTTACATAAATCTTAGACGCTAATTAATATAATCAAATGTATTTTTTATTGAATTTCGTAAAAAATACATTCCTTACGATTTCTTAATACATTCTCCCATAATTTTCAATAAAAGAAAATATTTCAATTCTTTAACCAATGCTTTTAAAATACCATTTTTTTTATTATAATACAGTCTTAAATGAATTTCTGTAACTCTGTAATATAGCAAAAATATTTTATTTAACGATTCTTTACTGTTTACAAATTACGTATTTATTTAAAAACTAAAAATATATTTAAACTAAATTATATCATATTTATAAATATATTCCAATGCCGTATTCCCTTAACTTTCAGGAAAAAAATAAGGTTTTATTAAAGCAGACATACCTTTCATTAATTTACTATTTCACTTTAATCAAATATTTTTTACCTCTGATCAGACAATTGCGTAAGTACGCATGATGTCGACATTAAGAATTTAATGCATAATTTATTTTATATTTAAAAATGTTATCAAAACACTGTTAGACATTTTTTAAAAAACCTAAATCCTAGAAATAAAGTGAATGTTATTAAAGTTAAAATGACGTCTTTATAAAGTAGGTTAAATATGAAGAGGGACAAAGGTGTTATTATACTGTTTACTGATAGTGATGGTGACAGTGAAAGTGATCGACAAAGGTTTTAGATGATTACTCCACAAATCCGAGTGCCATTATCTGCAAGAAGACAGGGAGTGTTATCTTCGGCCTAATTTTCCTGCAAATTTCAAAATTTCATCACCAACTAATAACCCAAAATGTCTCAAAAAACACAAGCACTGCATGTATATATACGAAAATAATGCAAGTGATAATTAAGATTGGACCTCTCAAAAATCAATGCAAAAGGAGCCAGGGCCAAAGCAGCGATGGCATTACGATAGACGACGAAAACGTAACGATTCATTCCATGGTTGAGACTGGCGACGGAGAAGATGAGAGCTCCGGCGAACCCAAACTGAAGTCCGACCGTTAACAAATAAGGCTTTGCCTTACTGAAGTTGCTTCCAAAACTAGCACAACGACAGTGTTGTTCCATGTTTTTGTGTTGGAAACAATATGAAAAATTGGGTAACGCTTAGAGCGATGTACTCTGAAGTGCATGGAGTGGTCGTGCTTATAAACATAAAGGGTAATGATTAAGACAAATTGCACTGGAAGAGGATAAGCGATAAGTATCGGTGTCCTGTTCTAAAGTTATACTTTTGGTCAATCTCAAAAAAAAAAAAAAGCTATATTACTATTTGTTTCGGTGGATATTTTTGGGACCGAGAGACTAACCTGCTGACGCGTCTGGGCCGCTCGCTCGCTTCCAAACTCCTCCTATTGGCCGATCGGTGTTGGCGCAAACCGATCGGTCTCCTTCTTGACGAGGGGGGATGTACCTGCAAAAGGTACTCCGACGCTCAAGTTAGGCGTGTGATTTGAAGAGCCTCGGCTCTTAGTTGAATATTTAGTGAATGATGCGTAAGTGGAACGTACCTGGCTTTTGGCCCTGGCTTTGTATTTATAATTTACCTCATGGATCTTGAGCTAATATAAGCCCAATAAAATATAAACAGAATAAGATATAAACAGATTACCTAAATATCCGGTTGGTTGTTTGTAACCGCTCGGTTAATATTTCATACTATACATTATGCCCCCCAAGTCCGAGTTAAGCGTTTGGCTTTAGCCGTGGTTAACTATAGGACTGATGAGTTTGAGGGAGGCTGCGTTTGCGGAATTGAAAGCGTTTTACCGCTCGACCTTCAACATTAACCGAGCGGGATTTACCGCTCGTCCTTCAACAGGAACCGAGAGGGATTTACCTCTCGGTCGTCAACATTAATCGAGAGGGTTTTACCTCTCGACCTTCGACTTTAACCGAGCGGGATTTACCGCTCGTCCTTCAACAGGAACCAAGAGGAATTTACCTCTCGGTCTTCGACATTTGTCGAGAGGGTTTTACCTCTCGACCTTCGACATAAACCGAGCGGGATTTACCGCTCGTCCTTCTGGCGGAATCGAGAGGAATTTACCTCTCGGTCTTCGACATTTGTCGAGAGGGTTTTACCTCTCGACCTTCGACATAAACCGAGCGGGATTTACCGCTCGTCCTTCAACCGGAACCGAGAGGAATTTACCTCTCGGTCTTCGACATTTGTCGAGAGGGTTTTACCTCTCGACCTTCGACATAAACCGAGCGGGATTTACCGCTCGTCCTTCAACCGGAACCGAGAGGAATTTACCTCTCGGTCTTCGACATTTGTCGAGAGGGTTTTACCTCTC